AAAAAAAAAAAAAAAAAAAAAAAAAAAAAAAGCAAAATAACCCAAAAAACTCAGGTGTTATCTCACTGTAAATGAAAGTTGGAGTGTGATGGAGAAAATTGCACGAATTGTTGCTTATAGTGAGAATAACACCAACGCAATTTGGCTGTGCCAGAGTGTTAAGTGCTAATAAATTATCAGCCCCGACCTAAATTAGGCTTCAAAGTCATTTGACGACAGATGCTAGCACTCTCCATCATAATTTAATGTGGCATCTGGCAGTACTGTATGAGTACAGCAAGCTAGCCATCAGTAGATTTAGTGATAACTTACAATGTCAAACACCAAGACAGAAAATGTCCCTATTTTTTTAAAACTTGTTACAGGGTAATAATGTAGCTGACCCTTGCTTTAGCTATCTTATACCTAAGAGTAAGGGCAGATAGTGACTTTCTTAGTTTTCTCTTTTTATTACATACAACAGTATTAACACAGAGTGGTAAAAAAAACCTCCTATAGGTGTTCTTTTCCTTTTTTGTTGCTTGTGTCTGTCTGGCGATGACATGTAATTGGCTTATTTCCAGCCATGGAGAGTTTTCCTTTTTCTGTCATCTCCACAACGTTCTTTCGTGGCTGCATTACTGTGCTGTTCACCCCATCCCTTTATTGATCAAATACAGTACATTGTCAGACAAGTTGAGGAAATAAACAGGTCCCTGATGGATTAACAAAAAAATACCCCCGCTATACTCTGATAAAGATTTTAAAATACCGTCTTTCCCCCTCAGTTTGTGTTTCTCCAGAAACATGTTGTTGTACCTCTTAAAAGATTTGTCCATTCTTAAGCACCGGTTCCACTGAAATAAAATCTCTTCTACTGCAGTTACCAATGTTTTAGTCAGTCACATGAGCTCATGAAGGTAGTAACCTGTGCGGTTTGTTCGCTACTCGGACTAGATTGGTAAAGATGAGGAACAGCATGGAAAATTACAGTGGAATTTAAAGGGTCATCTTGTGAGCAGTCAACCTTCTAATCCAAACTTGCCGTGGCAACAATGTGTCAAATGCTGCTCAATCAGGTACCAGGTGATATCACAGCTGTGGCGGTATGTACCGTCCTGTTGGCCCATTTTAGTGCTGTAACTCTGGCTGCCATTATCGACATTATCTTTTTCAAGTACAAGGTCTAATGTTGTTTCTCCTTCAGAACATATTTCAAGTGGCGGCAGACTTATCTGTCAGTGTGCATGTATGAAATAATGTGTGGTTATTGTAGGTGTATCAAGCCTACAGGCATGTTAACGTGTTTCAGGTATGATTTGAAATATGTGTGTGATAAATGTCTGAATTTCATTACTGGTGCAGTGAAACGTAAAAGTCAAAGCAGCATGACGGCAGGCATGCAGGCCACATCTGGGGTTTTCAGCATGACTGCAGGTTTGCTGGTAAGTCATGACACAACTCTATGTGCATGGACATTTGATTGACTGCACCCAAGCAATAGCAGTTGTGTGAATAGTACAATGTGTGCATCTAGCTGGATGGAAAATGTGCCAAAGGGACAGTGAACAATGATTTAAGGGTGTATAAAGAAAGACATGTAAGGTCATGGAAATAACCGTGCTGGGGCTAACCACAGTTTATTTTTTTCCTCCTCTTTTCATCTTTGATTGTGTTAATATTATTTCTGTGCAATTTTGATTCTAAAAAAACTGGACTTTTTCTTTTCCAGGACAGAATACACCACAAAGAGATGTCTGTGTTTGCTTTAGGGGCCAAGGACAAAGTAACAAAAGAGGCCGTTAGTGAATGTTGTTATAGTTTTGTCATAGAAAATGCAAAACCAGTGAGTGAGAATACAAGATTAGCAGACATGACAAAGAGAAGTGTTAAGGAAAGGTGAAAGAAGAACCCAGTTTGAGAAGAACAGCATGGAAACGTGAGGACTGTTTACTGTCCATTCATCCCCACCCATACCCCTCTATTCATCGCTAATGTGCTACAGGTGGGTCACTACACCACAGTGTTCCTCTGTCTGTATGGAGGGGGTGGCAATACATTGCCTGTTTTCATAGCAGCCTCTGACAAGTATTCCTGGTTTTCAGCCACAGCAGGGCGAATGCGTCCATTCTGGCGGTAGAAGAAGCGTGTGCTGCAGTCCTGCAGGTACTCAGGGTTGTGCAGTGAGGACTTGGGAGGGAGACTGTGCTGCCAGTATTCAGGATTGTCAAAAGTGGCTTTCTTGCCTTTCTTATCAAACATAATGGTGCCGCTGGTGATGCCTGAGTGCAGAGCGTGTCCTGAATGCCCCGGATGCAGGGTGTGTGATGGATACGATGGGTGGGGGAGGTGGCCAGGGGGTACCACATATCCAGTGGAGGAGATGGTGTGGCTTGATGTTGGTGGGTTGACTGTCTGCAGTACTGATTGTGCAACAGAGGATCCAGAGCCAGAGATGGAGACTGTGCCAGCCAATCCATTCTTGGCCCCAGTGTTGAGGAGGGTATTCAGGTACAGTGGCTCGTTGACATACTCATCATCACCATGAGTGGATTGACTTTTGGGGGCAGCAGTGGCTCCAGCCAAATGCAGAGTGTGGCAGCTAGCTCCATCAATCACTGTGTGGGCATCTCCATTCCTACGCCGTGTGACAAAGGGGTTTTCCTCTACAGGGATGAGATAATCTGGAAACAAAAAGGGGATATTAGCATTAGCTAAGGTCTCTACAGTACTGTTATTGAATGTTGTAAGTTATAGTGTACATATCAGATGCTTTCAAACCCTTAAAAGAACTGGGTACACATTTAATATGTTATTTTAGATAAGTACTGTATCACAACACAAACTATGTCATTTAGCTCATTTTATCCAAACATTTAGAAATTTGATGAAGACATTCAAAACTGTCAGAGTAACCTGAATTGCTCTTGTCTCTCATGGCATTGCCTTTTGCTCCTCGCTCTGCTAAAAGACCAGTGGGATCGGCGCTGTAACGCTGTCCATTACTGTCCTCACCTCCGCCTTGCAAGAGGAAAGGAAGCAAGAGAGAGTTTTAAAGTATGCTACTATGAAAACCTTATGTCAAGATCCATATATATTTTCTAATAAACTCCGAGGCAGAGCTATAACTGTACCCAAGTAACTTTAATTTGGGTGATTTAGGGATGACATCTTTATTTTTCATGGGCTGACCGTACAGTACATGGATTCCGATTAGTGCTCGAACGCAGCCATTACCAATATGTTACACTCATCTCTTTCACTTCTTACTTCTCCAATGAAGTGACATTATAGACACGCTTGCATTGTTAAACTCACTTTACCAACCCAAACAAATATTGGCAGCAAGCATAAAGGGAAAACGTAGAAAAGAATAACTTGAGTCACAATGTCAACAAATAATTCAGGACATTTTCTCTGTTCCGATCTCACCTATCTTGTCTACTGTGACATGACATTTTTGTCACTGTGTCACTGGCTATGGCGTCACCTTGTGGTACATTCAGGCTCAGTGACTGAAAATAAAATGAGGGCTGATTTTGTTTCGCGAATCCTCTCTTTACATATTATAATCAAACCAGATTTTAAAATAAATAAACTGTACCAAAGAATTCTTAGGATATGTCATTAAGTTTCAGTTTATTCATGTAGAGTTTGGTAATGTTTACAAAAACACAAAACATAATGACTCTATGCTTGATATTTGTTTACAATTTACTGGTATGAGCAACCCAAAGTATTTTTCAGAGTCCCTCAATTGAATTTAATCCCATGACCGCTGCTTTTGAATGTCATTCTACTTTACCTTGCACTGTGGTGAGAGTTGAGCCAGCCTCAAGGGTGCTTGACCTTGGGGATGCCTGTTTTCTCAGAGTGCCATTACAGCGGGGGTCATCCTGGCTACCACGGCCAAATCCACCAACTATTTTTCCTCCTGAGGCAAGTTCCTGTGGAGCGAGGCAGCTTCCAGAAACAGGGGGACCAGAGATCACTCTCGGCACGGCAGCCAGCATATCCTCCATGCTGAAACTGGGATCCTGACAGCCAAATTGGTTCTGTGTAGAAGTAAATGAGAGAAAGGGTTCAGTTAGGATAGTAGGAATGTGAGACTGAATTCAAAGAAAATCAGTTTACTAAGACAGATATATACGATGAGAGATTAATGGCAAATTGTGTTTAAAATCTAAAATCTAATGTCGAAGTCAATGAACTTTAAGTTCATTACCTTCAAGGGGAAACTGTTTCTATTCCAATCTTTTGTCTACAAACTAGTTTGATTTTCTGGTGTGGTACAAGTACAAAAGCAAAAAAAACAATATAAAAAGTACAACAAAAAAAGTAAGACAAAGACTATTGTAAAAGTGACAATTGAAGTACTTTGTACTATTGTCCATCTGCAATATTAAAATGTGACAGGCAGGGGAGACAAACAGCAGTGCCAAACAATGATATGGCAGCATGACTGCCAAGTACAATTAAAAGGATTTTAATTAAAAGGCTCCATGCAGCAAGTCTTTAAGTAGCCATATCAGAAATGTCATGCTGTGTGCATTTGTGTCTACACTAATGACAAAAAAGGGCTTTTATGAACCTCAGCAAGTGCTTTACTCGGTTTATCTTTTCTCCCCCATATTTTCAGCAAGTTTTATTTTTTTAAAATTTTTTATTAACTTATCCTCAGGTTAATGCTGAGTCGTCTGTGATCTTACGGCAACAGTATATGGAATTTATTTCCCTTAAAGTGGACCTCTGGCTATTTACCTTATTTAATACTAAAAAATTGTTATAATAGTGGATGAAACATGGCTAAATTACCAGATAATGAGGTCAGCATGTGATTAATAAACATTTAGAAAAATTTGGGATGCTGTGTAAAATGTAAATTAAAAACAGAATGCAATGATCTGCATATCTCATGAACATATACTTTATTCAGAACCAAACCTGCATCAAATATTTAAACTGGGAAAACGTATCATTTTAAGAAAAGTAAGTACAGGGCGATGTTTACAGGATCCCCTCGCTGTAAATATCTGGGAACAGAAAATATAAGTTGCTGAACTTTTGGGGGAGGCATGCTGTCCCATTCTTTTTATCTCTCTCTCTGTCATATATATATATATACACTACAGCTGTTCAACAGTCCTAGGTCTTCTTTGTGTTTGTACTTTTTGATTCACCACACGCGAAATGTTTTTAGCTGGTGAAAGCTCTGAACTGCATACAGAACTGCAAGCTGTTCTCTTTGTCCAAAGGATGTGGGTTCCGTGTTTTCCAAAAGAATTTCAAATATTGATTTGCGTTCTGCCTTGTTTCAGTCCACCTTAAAAAAAGCTTTGATATGGCTTCTTCTTTGCATGATAGAGCTTTTACCTGCATTTCTGAATAGCACAGCAAACTGTGTACACAGTCGTGAAAGTGTTTCTGAGCCATGGACGGATTTCTATGAGTCTGACCTATTTTTAATTTGCAGTGCATTAAGGGCACAAAGATCACAAGCATGATCCTATATCGATTTTCACTCTTGTCCCATGTGCACATGTCTACGTCCAAGAGATTTCTCAAGATCCTTTTTATCCTTTTAATGATCTTATATACTGTAGATGAAGAATAATTCACCGTCTTTAACATTGTTCCTTCAAGAACATTATTATGAAATTGTTCCACAATTTTTAGATGCACTTTCCCCCCCCAGATTGATGAACCTGTGTCCACCTTTACTTCTAAGAAACTCTGCCTCCCTGAGATATTCTATTTATACATAATCATGTTATTGACCTGTAGTCAGTTCATTTAATTCATTGCAAAATGGTCCTCCAACTGTTTCTTTTTAATATTGCTCACTTTTCCAGCTTTTTATTCCCTCATCTAAACGTTTTTGAGATGTTATTAATACTTTTCATAAAATAGCAAAAAGTCTCAGTTTAAACATTTGCCTTTTCTTTATCCTTCTGTAAATGAAATGTGGTTTATGAGATTAGTAAATTATTGCAACTTTTTTCATTTAGATTTTATAAAGTGTCCCAACTTTTTCAGAATTGGGTTTGTATCTAAGATACAAATGGCTTCATACTCTAAATGCCCAGTTTCCAACAATTTCTTTTCTCTTTTGGGTCTATATGGTGTCACACAGAGACAGGTACATACTGATGGAGAGATCCATAATACGCTCATCACAGGCACACATCTCACCCAGTGAACCTTTTGTTTACCATACCCAAATCAGTAGAAATCTGTCTTAAAAGATCAGTGTCCTTAAAGCGGGAGAAGCTTAGATTCCTTTTTTCAGACAGATGGTGAATTGAGGAGTTTTATCAAAGTACATTGTAGCAGAAAATTATATTTAGTGAAGTCCACAAATACAAATCTAAAGCAGGAAATGAGCATACTTCTTTACAAGCTTACTAAGTTATTCCAATAAAGTTTTTACTGAGTGCCCAGTTACTGATGACATCTGACTCTTGTCGCACAGTCATGTAAATCTTTTTTGTTTCCTTTTTTTTTGTTAACTTAGAGATCGGAGTAATGCAATTATTAGCAAATAGGAGCTTTAAACAAAACTGTGCCTACTGCTATATTTTGTCCAAACCTTTGCTTGAAATCTCAGGAACTTCAAAGGGCAGAATTGAGGGGCATTCTCATTTTCTGTATGCAACAGCATCGTTCTTTTTTCCTGATATATTACATGTGGAGTCTTCCCCAGTTTCTCATCTAGTGCTCTACATTATAAGCCAGAAGCAATTAGTTGAGGCCTTAGAGCTCATGCTGTTTTCTCATTACAGTGTAACTGCAGGTATATCTACTAAATTTCCCTCTTTCAATCCTCATTTATACCTATCACTCATCAAAAAATAAAAAACAAAATCAATCACTAACCTTAACACAAATATAAAATTGTGGAGTTTCTTTAAATCATATTCAAACACATGCACAGCTGTATTACTTTGTACCCTGAAGATGAACAGAGACTTAATCCAGTGTGAAGTAAAATATTAACTATTACTTGAAGAGTCAAGTAAAGTGCCCTGTTCACCTTTTTATCAAAGCACAAGCTTTTGGCTAGGCTAAACGTCTTCATCCCTTTAAACCAAATAGTTTTTAATCTTAGCATGCATTTTCATAATGACATTTCGGAGTATGGTGGCAATGTCTGTTTAAGCGAGTGCAGAACAAATTTCTTCCAGTTATGAGTCACAATAATAGAGTGAAATATGGCTGTATAAGTAAGTGTTTTAATAATCAAGCTCATTACAATAATCAACCTATTTGAAATTAAATTATTATGAAGTTATTTGCATTCAAACTAAAAAGAAAGGCCCAGTAGTGGAAGAAAAGTATAGGCAATAGTAAGGAACAGCAGGGGGATTGTAAATATATATACAGATCAGGCAAATACATAATCATTCACTCTCTGAAATGCACTAAAACAGGTTTGAGACATGTCTCTCATTGGCATTCAGTGGGTATTTTTATTCTGACATAAACACAGGGGGATTTTGGAATACAAAATGTTTGAATTCTGGCTGTGTGACTGGTGCTGTGATAGATTTAAGTCCAAAGAGAGACTATGAACATTTGAACAGTCCAAGAACTGAGAAGATCTAGCTGTAAACTCCAATTCAGAAGAAGGCAATTACAACAGTTTCACAAAGGAGAAAGACGAAGGAAAACAGAAAGAGAATTGGACAGCAAGAGACAGATGGGAGTGAACGCGAGAAAGCTGTGTGAGTGCAGTTTTAAGGCCTCAGTCTTTTGTGCTTGAACAGAATAGTCCTGCATTGCACTGAGAAAACCATTCCCATATCACTTTAGAATGCATCTAAATGATTTGAGTACTTTTGCTATATTGTCCCATTTTTCATCTTTCAACCAGCCACACTGCTACTATGCTTAGAAAGAACTGGTAATAAGAGATGGTAATCCAGAGACCATGTCAAATTAAAAGATAAGAAACAAATTTAATGAAAAAAGTAAAAGAAAAACACACAAATTAAAACTTAAGTTCATTAAAGAAGTAATAACAAAAATAATGAAAAAGGGTTGGGCCACCAGTCTTCCTTACAGTGTTAGTGAAGGGATTAAAACACAAACTGGCTTACCTAGGTTATTGCAAGAGGTTTCGAACTTTATGACTTTACAGTTTATCATTTAATAGATTTAATCTTGTTTACAATGTTAATAAATTATTTAAAAATATTCCAGCTAAATATTTTTGTAGGAAAATCTGTGGACATCAACAACAGTACAGTGAACTGAAAACTACACTAAAATATTGGGTTAGATGTCTAGAATGTAGAAAACCATTATGACTAATGGCAGTTGGCACCTCCTATTACCACTGTTACTTCTAGCTTAAAATTCTGATAAAAACAGAGCAACAAGAACAAATTAATTGTTGAGTGAGTACATCAAAAACAGTTAAAATCAATAGCCCATCCAGCTTGACAATGACTACATTAGAAGGGCTAATGCAATCACATGTTCAACCAGCTGGCTAACCAGATCTGTCATCTTTTTAAAGCTCTATTTAGATATTTTACATAGACAAGAGCAAGTCATTTAAGAACTCTATTTGCTCTTATCACCACTGCCAGCTGGGTATACACAGAAGAAAATTAGTTGAACATTTTATGCACGCTTGATATTGTGAAGGGGTGTGAACCTACACCATAATCCATAGCCTTTTCTTAAGCCTATTGCACCATTGTGGTTCTGCCAGGGCCACTACAAAACCTAAAACTAATTATTAAGTGAAATCAACGCAGAACAAAGTCTGAAACAGGAGACAAACCGTGAGTTGTTGGCTGGCAAACTTGTGATTTACTTCACCACCACCACCCTTCTAGCCTCCAAATGTGGACTTAATCTCTCTTGTCACAGCACAGATGCCAGTGGCATCTGCCAGAATAGCAGTATTTGACATGCTAAGATGAAAACATGCTGTTAAGTCTAAGCTATTTTTAAAAATTCCTCCAAGTTTAAACAATCTATTTCTACCGCAAAACACATTGTGCAGTCACATTGCATAATGATCCACCTTAATAACACAATGTAAGTGTATCTTCAGTATTTCTTCCACATATTGAACATTGTATTAGGGCGCTTGAAATAAAATACCTTGTTGGAGTCCATCCTTGTGCGGGGAGTGTATGCCAGTGGGGGGATGTTGAAGGAGTGGGGCACCAAGTACTCCTCAGCATCCATCAGGTCATCTAGTTCCTCCTCATCCAAGAGGCTCTGGAAGAACTTGCTGTCACTGGGGCTGGGGAGCTTCATGCGATCATCACCCTGAGTAAAGTTTGATTCAGTTCAATTCAATTTTATTTATATAATGCTAAATCACAACAATGGCCTCAGTGCATTTTATATTGTAAGATACAAAGTCTACAATAAAACTGAGAAAATCCCAACAATCCAAAAAAACAAAAAACAAAAACCCACTATTAGCAACAGTGGGATTGAAAAACTCCCTTTTAACAGGAAGAAACCTCTGGCAGAACCAAGCTCAAGGAGGGGCGGTCATCTGCTGTCACCAGTTGGAGGTGAGGGGAGGGAGAAAAACATTTATTGATGATAAAGCAACAAGTTAAGTCAGACTGTGGTTTGGGGCCTTGTCATTGGCAGATCCATCTGATACTTTTGAGAAAGGCTGATATGCAGAGAAACAAGAAAGGGAGGGTGGGGCACAGAGACCACAACAAATGTGTATGGGGTGGAAGTAGACATTAATAGATATATTATCAGACGGAGAGTGTTTGGAGTGAGGTCTAGCTTGTTATTCTGATAACACATTAGCTATTATTTTTAACACTTTTATAGCCTCTGCAGCTTATACTTCACTGAAGTTAATTTGAAAATATCAGAATAACAAGTGTGATAATGTCAGATTTGTTTCATGACTGTTTTACTTGTGTTACTTAGAGAAACCTTTTTTGAATGAGCACTTATTTTAACACAATATAAGCAAAGTCCATGTTTTTTTTCTTTTACAAAGAAATGGGAAACAGAAAAACTCTCTATATGAAAAACTGACACAGTAACCGAAGACACACTATAAAGATAACATACATATTCCGATACCATCAATTTACCTACCTGGATGACCAGATATCTTTGGGGATCTCGAGCCATTCGAGTGAACTCGGCAGCCAGCTCCTTGAACTTGGGTCGACTGTCTGCATCAATCATCCAGCCTGAAAGGCATTTCTTTATTATATATTTAACAATATGATGTTCCAAATAAAAATAACAAAAGTGTGTGTGGGGTGGAGATGCCATCTATACATCTTATTGATGTGTATAACTTTCCCAATCAACATTCAATTTGAGGCTTCATCTATCCCCATCAGGATTCAGTTTTTTGTTCCTGTGTAAATTTACTGTTACCCCATTTAACTATTAGGAACAATGTGTTGAGAAGGTGTCAGTGGAGATTTGGCAGTGCAGTTGAGTGGTCTTCCTACTTTGGTGTCAGAGGTAATGCCTCCATAGACTGAGGCTTTGGATTAAAGGCTACATAATAATGCACAATAATTAGACTTTGATATCATCTTTCAAGCATTATTTTTTGACATGCAACTATCTCTACAGAGTGAATAATTCATTGTGAACGGGTATTTATACGTAAAGTGATAAATTGAAATTATTCTGAACTTGAACTTATTTCCTGACTGGTCGATATGGTAGGTTAAATCTATCATGATGGTGGTTTCAATTGCACTCAAAGCAGCTCTGTATTACACCATTATGCTATTAAGTGGTGGTGATAGTGGAGTCTGGTGTGTTTGCTCGTGTATTGATGGGGCAGATGTGGTGGATTATCCCTGGGCCAACTGTGGTGGGAAGGTCTGGGTAACAAAAAACTGTAGCTAACCTGTGAAAGCTTGACATCAATCACATGACATAAAAACAGGCCATATTCCCCTACTTCTTAAGATTTTTGAAGATTTCATTTTTAAACCATTTTCCAGAATGCATTGTTTCATAATGATTAATTACATGAGTTTAAATTAAGTTCTCTTCTTTATTCAAATATAAATACTGTTTCATCGCTATAATGGCCATATGGAGCTATGCGCTCTTCTGCCAGTTTCCATGTGAACATGATGATATAATGCCAAAGCAATCATGTGGTCTGGCCTTGAGTACAGGCTGACTAGGTAAAGGATGGTTAAATGTGGCTTTAGATGTGAATACATAAATATATACACAAGCCATTTCAAATGTAAAATTGATTATCTTTTGTCTTGGTGCATAGCGTCTATTATTATTGCCAGTAAAGCAGAGGATAGTGAAATTAGTTAAAGCTTCAGAAGTACACTGAGCACATGAGCCTTTTCAGCATGTGCAGTGTTGCAGAAAGAAGTCAGATAAGAGGCAGGTGATAGTAACCTCTCCCTGCCGTGTCTGTGTCCACTTGCCAGATTGGCGCAGGTTGAGGGTGACCGTAAAAGCCAAGGTGACAGAAACGGCCAGAGGCTGAACCTTGGAGAGCAGTAGAGAAGGCTGAAGTGGTGCTGGCACCCAGTCTTTGTCCTGTCAGCAGTGGCCAGAGGGTATAGTGCCACCTGTGACCCCAGTGCCTGACAGCATAACAGCAGTGGCTGACCACTAAGGCCAACCTGTTCATGCTTAGCAGTCCTCTAAAATTTTATACAAGTATGATCAATTAAAAGAAAACAGGTGGGCTAAACTGTAGAACCGCAATCTACCGATTACCAAATGTTTTCTAAACATGTTTTCTATTCAAAACTAGCTAGCATGTTTCCTCATCGCTCTCAGTTTAACATGGTAGAAGCAGTAATTATTAATTCTGATTTATTTGATCTGTTGCATTTGATTTTAGTTTATTAAAGAGAGTTTCTGTTCTTCTGGTTACTTTGAGATTTTACTTACATTTGACCATGACCATGTAAACATCAATGGTGCAGATGGGTGGTTGAGGAAGACGCTCTCCCTTTTCTAACAGATCTGGGATATCTCTTGTAGAAATCCCATCATATGGCTTCCCTCCAAAGGTCATCAGCTCCCAAATGGTTACACCTGAAAGATGTAGGAGTAGTGATATATGAGCACAGAGGCAGACAGATTAAGTAAGGAGAGACAAAAAGATAATTACAAAAACAAGAACAAGTAGAAAGTTGAAAGCCCAAATTCACTAAGTAAGTGGAAATAGGAAAACAAAAATAAATGTTCCTTTTCTTTTAGAGTAAGGAAGCACAAGTGCACTTTGAAATCTTTTTCATTTAATGAAACAGACATTTGAAAAAGAGATGTCTTAAGAAAACAGTAAATGTTGTTTTACCAATAAGTCTCAGTCTCAAGCAAATTACATAAATAAATGACAGGAAAACATAGACGTGACTCTGCTTTTAACCACCTTGCTACAGTGTCGCATTATAAGCTATGGGTAAGATCTTTGTCAGACAGGTATGCAGAAATGACAAGGCTTGGATAAAAGCAACACCTTGTGCAAAGACTCATGATGTGACCAATAACAGTTTTATGCTTCCTTGTGCAAACTACACTCAAGTGTCCCCAAATTATTCCCTTATTCGCCGCAATTTTTTACAGATTGCAAAACCCACCAATCAGCCAGGTCTGGTCTGTTCTAATTAGCCACCAAGGAAAAAATCAACCATTCAAATGGTTCTTGATTCTTGTGAAACTAAAAAGATGAGTTAAAATAATGTTCAGGATTTTATTAATTACAATTTACTTCACATTACACTACACGTATATGAGTTCAAAGTAAAGTGTCCATCCACTGTCTATTCACCGTCTCTTGGCTGTTCTTAGCGTTTTAAATGGACAGGGAAGAGTCGGAGCCAAGCTCTCAGCAGGAGCGTGATCTCACCCTCTTTCCTCTCATGGTCCTTCTGTCCTCTCCCTCACAGCCTTGTACCTTCAATAGTTTTCTCCCACTACATGTATTTTGATGTAACTGTCTGTAAATAATGAATAAAACCAAGAATATGAAGATGGCCTTGAACACATTCTACCTCATGCACCCTTTTTCTATTCCCCTCTTTATTTCTTGTCACACACACAAGTCTTATTTTATTTTTTTCCTTTGTCTGCAAATTCCTGCTAGACTGTCAGCGGTTGAGCAACTAAACTAGGCACACAGGTACACTTTAAAGGGCCTCGAATGCTCTTAGTGACATCTGATATTACGATGGCATCATGTTACCTAACAATCACCCACCACTGGCTAAAATAACCATTTGCAGTATTTATGTACCTAAAGCACCATACTAAAATATTCTATTGCTTAATTTCGGGACCGTAACATGTAATTTATATCTACAAAAGTTGAATTACACATCTGATACATTATGCTGCCATATGCTGCCTAGTAACTGACATTGTTGTTTCTAGTATATTGATGGCAACATGACAATAAAGTAGTAAGAAACAATAAAACTTTTTGCAAAACAGGTGATAAGCATCTGTGCTTTATTAAAATTGTGGCCATTTTTTTTTAATTTCAGCTTTTCTATTTACATTTCATTGGATGAAGGTCAACCAGTGCCTTTGTTATCAATAAAATTATATAGAAAACTGTCATGGTTATATTCAAAGGACACTTACCATAACTCCAAACGTCACTCTGATGAGTAAACTTCCTGTAATGAATACACTCAAGGGCCATCCATTTGATGGGCATCTGTTAATAAAAGCAGAGATGTTAGTACCCTTATACTTAAGGAAAACTCTAATTTTCCAAGTGTTTTTATACTAAATATCAGCTAGTTGGGTGTTGACAGTGATAATGGACCATTTTGGCAAAGATACATCAACAACACTGGTGATATGCAGCTTAACACTATAATTAGATATGAAATTCTATTTATTACAGCGATGGAAACTGAGAGGAGGGGCTATGGAAGATCAGAATTTGTCTTTCACTCAGCTGAGGGGAAAATACTACAGTGATCGTCACTGATATAAACTGTGTTGGAGACACTGGAAAGAGACGAAGAGAGAGGGATGAAAAAGACTTTCTTGAGTAAAGAGGTTTTGAAAACAAAATACAAAAGCGGCAAAGGATAAACAAAGATTAGAAGAGGTCAGAACTCAGTGTAAGTACAGCCTCAAGGATATATTTGTTTACTATGTTTACAGGGTTTTGAAATCCCCAAAGGTAAATAACACGGTCCAGTAGAGCAGAATACCATTTCACTCCAGTGAAACTGTCCTTTGTGATGGGCTAAGTTCTTCTTGTAGAATATGAAACCCTCATTAATGTTAATGTGTATCGCTGTCTTTTACAAAATGTCAGCCGTAAGGTTCAAAATGGTTATTTATTAATATTGTATCTCCTAAACCAACACTTTATTCAACAAATAACTGAGGTAGATGGGCCCTTATTACAAGTTCAAGTGATCATACCGGACCAATTGCAAAAGTAACAAAAAGCACTAACATGATGGTTACTGCAGCCTGTACACACTCCAACATTCAAACTGCATTTTTCATTTAAATGTTAAGGAAAGAATTATAAAGCAGACGTTTTTGGCACATTTCTGGTTCAAATGCAAATGAAATTGAGATTTTAAATGAAAGCTTTTGCATTATTCTCGTTCACTTTCCTGACAGTCAGAAGAGAAGAGACAGTCAGTCTATACAGAGCAGAAGCCAGCAGCAGATTAGTTTAGCTTAAATGCCTGATCTGGGTCTTTTTGAAGATAACACAATCAGGCAATCAGCACCTCAAAAACTCACTACATAGTAGCTATTTGAGCTTAAAAAAACCAAAACAAAGCAAAGTTTCGGATCCCTTTTAAAATGACTCTCCTTCCTAGCTGTCACCATCTCAAGTAACATTATCTTCACTTCACCTGCCTCTCCTCTCCTCCGCTAAGAGTGTGCCTGCTTTACTCTGCTCTGTGTGTGACACATATAGGGGAGCAGATGAAGAGCACAAAAGACACAAGGAAAATGTGAAACAAAGAGCAAAGGAGAGGAACAAACAAACAGTGGAGACTTCAGACCAAAGAAAAAAAAATAGCCCATATAAACAACACAAGTCTTCAACTTCATACATTCAAATGTTGCTAATGTTAGATCGACCTTATTCACAATCACAAGCTCTGATAACTTCAGCCCATTCAGCTATGAAAACATAGTTATTAATTTATGTTTTTTGAGGCTATAATTTCGTACACTGCACTTCCAAGGTGAACATGTTCAGCGGTGGCATTGATGGCTTGTTTTGCTTGCGAAACAGTCTTCTACGATTTAAAAACTCACTGTTCTCTCTAGAGCAAAAGAAGGCTTCCCAGCCAGGAAATTGTTTAATGTTTGCTTTCCATGGCAGTGTGTGGCATTGATCATCAACTCAGATTCTCAGAAGGAAATTAAATGTCTATTAACCCCCCAAAATTAACCAAATTCCATTATTTGACAATGTTTCTAAAGGAGATGTCACGATTTACCTTTCCTCCATCAGCATTATATTCTTTTTCATTGACATCCAACAGGCGAGCCAGCCCAAAGTCAGTGATCTTGATGTGGTTGGGAGATTTGACCAGGACATTTCGGGCTGCCAAATCCCTGTGGACGAGCCTACGCTCCTCTAGATACATCATTCCCTGCAACACAACAGATGCACATAAAGACAATATTTCCCTCCAAGTTCATTTGCAACAACATGCATGATACTGCTGTCTATAAATCAAATGCATGCAAGTTAAGATCACCATATGTTGTCATCATTATCACTATCAAGTCAACGTTAGAATTTTTCTAATTATTTATATCAGCATCATTAAAACCACTTTGATATTTTTAGATTTATAATTCCCATCAATCAACAATTAGACTGTAGAAAAGCCCCCGTAACTGCCAAATGCTTGGCAATGCAATCAAAGGCAGTATCCATAAGCATGTTTTCAATTAAAACAGGACTCATAGGAGCAAGAATGTTGGAGTAAAACACTTCCATCTGTATATTTACTTAACAATTAGGAAACCAACCCTGTGCTCTGTCTTTACAACTGATATGCTTTAGAAAAAAAACCAACAAAACAAACTCTCAAAACATTTTACTGTTGCAGTTTTAGGTTAATAGGTTAATATTTTAAATCCCAATTTTAATGTCACTGGGATGTTTTCCCCATTTTTTTCAGCAAAAAGTACAAGTGCTTAATAAAAACAAAACAAAAAAACAATTACAAGAAAACAAAAAACATCATTACCGTGTGTAGAGAGGCACGTGTGCACAAACATGTGCACCGGTAAAGAGGATATCAGAATTTGCATCATTACAAAAGCAGAAAGGCAACCTCAGCGTGAAGCAAAATGCCAGCCATGTCCTAAAGCTACAATATAATATCTCCATAAAGCTGTGTAAAGGCTTTTCACTTTCTACATCTTGTGCAGCACATCTTGAGCCTACACTGCCTATTGTGCATCACTGCTAGAGTGGACTTGAAGAGACAGAAAAATAGGGGAAAACTATTTCAAATTGGACAAGCAATAATGTAAGCCACTTTGTTTGAAGTGGTGAGAAGACAGAGAAAACGAGGCCTTATTTGAAGCCATAACAAATTGGATTTAGCTGGAATGGGCTGGAATGAAACGAGAAGTAGGAGCAGGAGGAGAGTAGAGGGATGGAGATAGGTGGGGTTGAGCTACACCAGTGTAAGAGGTGAGATAACATTCATACAGTTGTAAGGCTATGATCACACTGCCTCGTTTGGCTTAATCTCAGGAGAGAACAGGTGCTTTTAGCATACCTGCACATTTACATACAAACCCATATGCACCTGTAGACATGAATATGACATAATATTGCTTTCATAAGACGCTGACATAATAAATCATTCTCATGAGCAGATAATTCTATTACATGTCCATCCAGCTATTCACTGCAGCGCAGTACAGGCACAAGTTCAATAACTGCATATGCGGGACTATATCACCATGCACCTACATCTGCCCTTAAAATTAAGGGCAGGAGGTGAAGTTATTTCACTTCATGAAAAGTATAATGATTTGTGCCAAAAAAAAAATAAATCACCTAAATTGCTGTGGAGACTGAGATTCATAACTGTTGTAGGTAGCACCTCAATGAAGTAATCAAACATATCATACATAAACATACTATTACAGTACAACAGAGTGCATTCTTTGTTTTGGCTATTATATCAGAATGAATCAGTATCTCTCAGATTTACATGGTCAGATTGTACAAATGAGTGCTTATTTATGAGCTTTAGCGTTAATGACTTTTACTACTGGCTCTAAGCTCAACAAGCACTTGTAAGGCAAATTTAAGCTCTGCTCTTATAGCCAGTGCTGCCAGTTTGGGAATATGTTAGGAGATTAATGTGCCCAATCGCTGAGACTGTGACTAATGGAAACTATGCAACTCGAGCAATGTACTTGTATTTAAACTTTTTTCTTGTAAAACATACGGCATGACTAATGTGCAGGTTTTTGCTATTTACATGAGCAATCTAATGATGTCTGATTCCACTCTGTGCCAGAGCTAAAAAAATTACAGTAACAATGAGGATCCATGAGCTGATATGCTATGATGTACCATATGCTCAAAAGCAGAATTTACATTAAAAGCAGAAACGCTGATATACACTAAGGGGATGATTATTAAATTTCAAACATGCCAACGTGTGATTTTCAGTGTCTATGAGAGTGTCTATTTTTTCCCCCACAGTGTTGTGCCAACTTTTGCAAGCATACCTTGCCCAAAATGCTGCAGAAGGGGTAGAATTGAAAATGGACAAAGGCCAAGCTGGTCATTGCCCATGGCTCATCGAGTCTGTGTGTATGTCAATGTATACACTGCCAGGTTTCTGACAGATTCTTATTTGTACATAAATCGCACCCAGTAATCTCCTCAATTTTCGAGACAATTAAGCAGCGGAGAGAGAATGGATGGTTTGGCAACCCGTGAATTTTAATTTGCCAGCACGATGAGATTGAGAGGGGGAGGTGATGGTGTGTGTGCAGAGTGGGAAGTGGCTGCAGACGTGCGTAAGGAACAAACTTTTTTTTCTTTTTCTACTCGGTTGCTCTCATTTACTGGCCTCCCATGTGGACATGATGAGAACAACTCACTGCCAGAGGTTTTGTAATTGCAGCAAACCTGGATGAGACAGCCAGGCTGCTGCCAGTAGTGGAAGCTGTATTTCAGGTAAGCTTGCCACCAGAGAAAATCCACAGGGTTCAGACAGACTCTGTTATGATCGCACCTCCAGACGAGAGGTGCTTTCCAATCAGTAGGGATAAGACCTATGCCCTAAACCTTGCACACTGAGATTTTACATGGCAAAGCAAGCCAGGGAGAAAAATCTCTAGAATACCTAGAAGCGGAACAGTCTTCAAATGCCCCCATCAGAATTTTAGGAAATATAAGTATAACAAAACAACAACAACAACAAAACCCATTCATACCATGTAACTCTCACATTAAACAGGTTTTATTTACATATAATAAAATAGCGTCACTGTAATCTACACTAACTCAGCCATCCTTATTAAACTTTCTGATGGGAAGAAAAAAAAAAGCTGCAAAGAAGATCTCATTTATAGAAGTGAAGGTGAAAAGGACACAAGTAGATACTACAGGTATACAATCTATACAGGTGCTAAACCATCCTCATGGCAGTGAAGAAAATCGCTACTCTCTCGGAAAATATTCTGATATCCTGCCATGGTTATTTGGGCCTATTTCAGAGAGGCCTGCAAACAAAACCCAAGTGGAAGGCATTGTCCTTAGATGTGTTTTGTGAAGACAGATTTGGCAGCGAGTGGCAAAGGGCTGGAGATTAAATCAATAGGAGGAGAGCGAAGAGAGGTGGTGCCCATTTTTCACTGACTGGCACTTCCCACTGTTGTTTATTCTGGCAAGATACACACACACACACACACACACACACACACACACACACACA